TACAGTCTGGCTGTAAAGTACAAGCTCTTAACCAGCTTGGTTATTTCTTCTTCATGTCTGAAACACAAGAAAACGTAGAAGAAAATATTCCAATCTGACATAAAAAGGCATCAGGTCACCACAGTGGATGTGTCCTGATAAAATAAAGTCCTAGCAAAAAAAAAAAAAAAAAAAAAAAGGTTCAAAATTCCTCCCAGACCATAGTAAGTGGGAAGTACAATCTGCCAAACAGTGGATTAATGTAAATAACTTCCACCTAGGAAGAGTCTTTTAAGGCTTTTTCTTGATTCTCCTTAAATAATCATATATTTCCCTCATTTGAACCTTTGAACACTTTGCTAGCTATAGCAAATAGCCAGCAATAGCTGCTAACCCTGTTATATCATAACTACCTCTTTGTATTGCCCCTTAGGCTATAAGTTCACATGGCAGGGACAACACCCTGTTTGTCACCTGAGCTTTCTGGGTACAACCCCTGTAAGAGCTGCATCTTGACCATTTCCTTCAGGGGCTACTGGGGATAAATGACATCTCTTCTATCCCAGTCAAAATGCCTGCTTTTGGTTTGTTTTATTAAGAAAATCCACTATAGAAATAACAGTGGGACTATTTGGTGACATTAAGATAAGAATCTTTATGTAATATATTCATAATTATAATCCATACTATTTATGAGTGACCAGAAGTTGAATCTGTATTTTGTTTTGAAGATAACTGAAAGTGCTTAGATAATGCTTTAAAAGGTGAATATTAGAAGAAAACTGGTTTCTCTATCCAATGAAACTGCTAAATAAAAACTTACTCGCAATAAAGAAATTATTTAATGGAGATACCTATATGCACATTTATGAAGACTAGGCAGAAATCTAGGCAAGATTAGGCTAAGAGTTTAATTTTTTCTGTACTATAAACTGAAGTAAGAAATCTATAATTTATTAATTTCACTTAACCAATTTTTATTTTCAGCATATTTTTCATTCTACAAATCAAACAATGTTGGCTCCATCTGGTGGTCAAAATAAGCCTCTGTAAGCTTTAAAAATTGGTTAAGTAATTTAGAGGCTACCTGAAATGTGCTTGAACGTTGAACACTGAACATCGAGGTGTGCTTCAACACTGAACGTTGGTTAAGTGGAATTGTCTACATTTACACAAATTTTTAATTTTCCTTTCCTTGTTGTTTATCCTAGCATATTTCCTTCATGTTATTTTGGGGCTTAAAACAATTCTCAAAATAAAATAATAAAGAATATTTTCCTCTGTGTTTTTCTGTTAGTTCAGTTAAGAAATGTGAAGGCAGTAAGTTATAATAAAGTTAAATCTATCCACATTTTCAGATTGTATTCCATTTTGGAATATAAACTATAAAAATACTTACTGATTTTCAGTTGTATTTTCTATTAGAACTTCCAGACGGGGTGGCTAGTGAATATACGGGAGTTTATATCTAGGGGCTCTATATATTTGTATTCTACTGGCAGCTTAGTTTTAAAATTTAGTTATCAAAGGAGTATGTCCAGAATAGCAACACAAAATATTAGTACTAATAAGTTCTTAGACAGTAGTAACTTGCTCACTTTACAGACTGAAAAACCTGAGGTTCAGAGGGGTTAAATGATTGTGCTAAGCTGGGAATATCAGAAAACCGATTTTTCCACAACCCAAAGTTTTTTCCTCTCTATATGCACTACTATGTGTAGTTTTCCTTTGTAGTGGAGATCACTGCAGATATGTTTCATTATAATCTAATAATCACTTTGGAATTATATACAGTTGTCCTTCAGTATCTGTGGTTTCACAATCCTGGATGCTCATACTAAAATCCATGGATGTTCAAGTACCCTTAAATAAAAGGCTACACACATATTTTAAGTAACATGTGCATTTCTTCCCTGCACATCCTCGCATATACTTTAAATCATCTCTAGATTACTTATAGTAGCTAATACAATGTAAAAGCTATGTAGATAGCTGTAAATACAGTGTAAATAGTATGTAAAAGTTGCTGGTGTGTGGTAAATTCAAATTTTGCTTTTTGGGACCTCCTGGAAATTTTCTTTTTCCAAATACTTTCTGTTTAAGCTTGGTTGAATCTATCGATGGGAAACCCATGGATACGGAGGGCTGACTGTACATTTATAGTGCAGTGTGACCATTTATAAAATAGCATGAATACCCAAAATAGATTAAAAAAACTTTTTTTAAAAAATTGAAGTATAGTTGAGTACAGTGTTGTGTTAAGTTTCTGGTGTACAGCATAGTGATTCAGTTATCCACATATATACATACATATTCCTCTTCATATTTTTTTCATTATAGGTTATTAGAAGATATTGAATATAGTTCCCTGTGCTATACAGTAAGATCTTGTTGTTTATCTGTTTTATATATAGTAGTTAGATTTAATTCTCTAATTAGAAGGCTTCATCACTTTTACTTTTATTATACATATAAAAAATTTTATCTTTTTTCCCCAGAGTATTTTGCTTTGTTTAGTTTGTAATTCAAACAGCAGTCATGTTGGTAATAACTTGGAGTCATAACAGCACATAAATTCATTACCACAAGGTATACACTATACTAAAAATCAATTTTAAAAAAGGTAAGTGAATTTATCTAATAAATTAAGAAATAAGAAAAGTTAGACTAGTAAAGATAGGTTTTGAATAATACACATTAAATTGATTTAAATTAGGCTTAATTGCCTTATTTTTACTAATGAAGTTTTTAATGATACAGACTTTATCTAATAACTTTTTAATCAGATGGTTCTCCATTCTTTTTAATGATGATCACAAGAAACAATTACAGTATATAAGTGGTTATCGGGAATTACTGAGGGACATGAATGGCCTTTCTTCCGGGGGCTCCAGCTTGCCACCTGCTGGCTGTATGCTACCTCACGATCCCTCACCAGGACCTCGGCGCCGGCACAAAGGCTGACTGATGTTGCCCCCAGGCCCCTCAAGAGAGCACTCTGCACTTCTGGATGGCGTGACCCACAGTTCTTATAGTTTGATGGCCATCTTGACAACATCTCTATGTTGCCCTGTCATTCTGGATGTGGAAACTACAAATTATACACTCCATGTTGTAGCAATAAGGAAAACCCCCAAATGTTTCAAAATAAATAGATTTCATGAAGACACTCAGGATACTAAAGAAAGAATTGCCATCTAAAAATCACCTAAGACTATGACTGCCTTAGCAAATTCAACCCTGCGGTGTACCATGCTTGCTAACAGTACTTAAAGGAGGGTTTTATTGTTTTGTAGTAAACTCCTTAGGTACTTTTCAAGTAATTATGAGCATTTACAAACTGGCTCAAAATAGTCCTTAAATACTTGCATGTGTGGTATGGCAGAGTATTCTTCACAACTTCTATGTGATGGAGGAAACTGAGGCAATAAAGTGGCTTCTAAAATACAAGAAGATGACTCCTATCAGCACCAGCACCAGCACCATTTTTTAGGACCTAGCATGTCTGAGACACAACACTAAGAACTCTGTGCCTGCTTTCTCGCTTAACTGAATGCTGTAACAACAGAAGGGATATTATCAGCTCTATTTTATGCGTGAGGAAACAGAAGTTCAGAGAGGTTCAGTATCTTGCCCAAGGTTATATGACTAATAAATGACACAGCAAGGATTTGAAATCAGAGCTGTCAGACTTCAAAGACTGTGCTCTTTCTCTTCTATTACACTGCAAACAGTTACGGGGAGGGGGACACCATTTTGTATGAGAGTAAGGGAAACAAAGACAGTTCTGATGTTAAGGAGCTTTTAGGCTAGAAAAGGGATAAGCCACACTCTTTAACTGTGCTGTGGTACAAATGACATCTGAGAAGTCCTGATAAAGTACTTATGAAATTTATGCAGAAGAGGGGGAGGGAAAGTTGGGTGGAGGAAGT